CCAAAGAATTTCTGGACCTGCCCCTGGACACTGAGTTCACGGGCCACAAAGATTGAACGCGCAGCCTCAAGCTTCCGTGTCGCTTAAGACTGCTGGGGTGCTTTCGCGTATCCTGTGAAATTGGCGAGGCAAGGCTGCCGCTGTATGTTTGCAAGTGGAACAGTGGGCTTCTCTGCAGAAGCATGGGTACCACGTCTCTCTAGACAACAGTGGGCGGCCTCTCACAACAGAGGCTGCCGGATGTGCTGTTCCACAGAATTTCTGGACTTGCCCCTGGACACTGAGTTCACGGGCCACAAAGATTGAACGCGCAGCCTCAAGCTTCCGTGTCGCTTAAGACTGCTGGGGTGCTTCCGTGTAGCTGTGAAATTGGCGAGGCAAGGCTGCCGCTGTGCGTTTGCAAGTGGAACAGTGGGCTTCTCTGCAGAAGCATGGGTACCACGTCTCTCTAGACAACAGTGGGCGGCCTCTCACAACAGAGGCTGCCGGATGTGCTGTTCCACAGAATTTCTGGACTTGCCCCTGGACACTGAGTTCACGGGCCACAAAGATTAGCTGTACACCATAGCATCCGGCCATGGACGCTCTGACGGCGTATGTGGTACCTGCATGGAGGAGGTTGTGGAATCCTGTTGGGGGTGCCCGACACACGTCCATCGTCCGATTGACCATGCACCAATGATTCAGTACACAACAATGCAATGCTTTCTTCCTTGATTTGACCCCTCCCCCCATGACCCCTCCCCCTTAGCACCCTATCACAAACACTATAGGCACATTTGGTTTGTTGGATTCCGTGACTTGCCGAAAGTCATCACCGTCGCACATTTCGGCGTGACTGGCGCATGACTTTCAATGATTGGTTCGCGCCTGAGCCTCTGGTGGAGAGTGACGCGTGATCACCATCGCACAGTTCTCTTTCTGCGTGCCGCGCTTGGCTGAAGAGTTGTTTCGACGGGTCAATGGCAACGGCGCCAACGATCTAGCAGCGTTTGTTGAATGAAGAGACTGAGGCATTTGCTTGGAAGGCGAGCCCAAAACAAAAGAACGCAAATGCGGATTTCCACGGAAGCGCCGCGGAAGCTTTGCGGAAGGCGCGCGGAAGGGGAACGTGCCCTTTCCCACCACATGCCCACTCGAAGACCGCCAGCTCGTCTTCTTCAGGGCTTGTGCGGCTTGCGCTGTGCTGAAAGACGAATCGCAGCCCACTGCTTGCCGTAGAGCTCGTGAGCGAACACGATTTGTACGTAGCGGGCGAAATATAAGCAAATGAGCCTCACCAGCTTCTTTTCAGTGACCTCGATTCATTTTTTGGGTGCCATGATCCATTTCGAAAATATGGTCACTTAGTCCTAAATCAAAGAGGTCAATTAAGTCATTTAAAGGGCGCTTAGACCCTCAGGGTTGCCCTCCCCAGCAGATCCCTCCCCAGTCCGGGCAAATCGAGCCGCAGCGACACGTGAATGCGAATGACACTCACACGGGGGGGGGGGACCGACGCTACCCCGCAGTCCGGGCAAATCGAGCCGCAGCGACACGCGAATGACACTCACGCGGGGGGGACCGACACTAGCGCAAGTGACCTTTTCAAGGGGTTAAGTGACCTCGATTCGCACCCCCACTGACACTCAACCGACACGCTTTGACACTCCCAAAACGCCATGTTCGAGCCACTCCGGGTCGGGCACCGACACTGCCTTAGGAGGGCACCGACACTGCCTCAATCGGCCTTCATTCAAAAACATGTCACGTGCCCTTGTCTTAAGGGCACCAAAAATATGCCGCCAACTGCATTTACAAAGGTTCCTAGGATTCGCGAAAGGTTCGCCCAAACCTCGAGCATAGGGGGGGTTAATACTGGTTTCCCACGCGTTCAAGAGTCTGCCAAAGGTGCAGCGTCGCACGCACGCAAGTTCAGCGCAAGGACGGCAACTTTGCTCTTGCGGTCAGCGGATGACGCCCCGTTGTGTTGCGAATGGTGAGAGCCTGCAAAGTGACACCGTTTGTTTATGACCTTGGTGCTGCCAGTCACCTGCCACAAGCACGGTGGATTCACTGGAATTTTGTTTGAGATCCACCTTCGTTGGAAAACATATTGAACCCTTCTGGGCCTGGCCTCAAGATATCGATGGCCACCACCATGCCTGACAGATGCGGGTGGTTGGCGCGGAGGCAACTGTGGGGGAAGGGTCCTCCTTACCCGCGAGTAGGACCACAAGGGGTGCGGTCTCTGGCACTCAGCGCTCAGTAGGGCTCAAAACCGCTCAGCAAGGCTAAAAACACCCCCAGGCGTGGCCAGTTCTTCTTGGCTGAGCCTGACAATCTCAGCAAGTCTTTGTTGAGCTCACTAATGGCTTCAAACAACAATCTTGCTCAAATGCACTCATTGAGGCTTATTAAGGCTTACTAAGACTTACTAGCCCTTGCAACGTGTTACAAAGCATTGCTGAGCAACAGCGAGCCTCAAATGGCCGAGGTGCATGTTTGATGCTTTCTTCCTTGATTTGACCCCTCCCCCCATGACCCCTCCCCCCATGACCCCTCCCTCTTAGCACCCTATCACAAATTCAAACATAGGGGCATTTGGTTTGTTGGATTCCGTGACTTGCCGAAAGTCATCACCATCGCACATTTGGGCGTGACTGGCGCATGACTTTCAATGATTGGTTCGCGCCTGAGCCTCTGGTGGAGAGTGACGCGTGATCACCATCGCACAGTTCTCTTTCTGCGTGCCGCGCTTGGCTGAAGAGTTGTTTCGACGGGTCAATGGCAACGGCGCCAACGATCTAGCAGCGTTTGTTGAATGAAGAGACTGAGGCATTTGCTTGGAAGGCGAGCCCAAAACAAAAGAACGCAAATGCGGATTTCCACGGAAGCGCCGCGGAAGCTTTGCGGAAGGCGCGCGGAAGGGGAACGTGCCCTTTCCCACCACATGCCCACTCGAAGACCGCCAGCTCGTCTTCTTCAGGGCTTGTGCAGCTTGCGCTGTGCTGAAAGACGAATCGCAGCCCACTGCTTGCCGTAGAGCTCGTGAGCGAACACGATTTGTACGTAGCGGGCGAAATATAAGCAAATGAGCCTCAACTGCATTTACAAATCCTAGGATTCGCGAAAGGTTCGCCCAAACCTCATGGGTTTGCATAATGCTTGGGGTGAGGATGGTGGGGGTTAATACTGGTTTTCCACGCGTTCAAGAGTCTGCCAAAGGTGCAGCGTCGCACGCACGCAAGTGCAGCGCAAGGACGGCAACTTTGCTCTTGCGGTCAGCGGATGACGCCCCGTTGTGTTGCGCTTGGCCTGCCACTAGCTGCGCTCCCGCGCAGCAGCGGAACATGCAGGCCAACACATCGGTGCAAGGCATCAGACAGAGAGACAAGGTGGTTCAACGCAAAGGACCAGGCGCAACTTGACAGCTTCTGTCTACACATGGACCCGTTGTCTTGGCTGGTGGGACATCCAACCATTCTTGGCCCTATATTTTGTGGAGACTGCTTGCCGAACAGCTGCAACCAGGCGCGGGCACAAGGGTTGAGCCCGGGCCATCGGAAGCGAGTAAGGCGGCGCGTGCGAGAAGTGGAGCGCCTTTGCCTGTTTGACGTACGCTTTTGTTGGTGGCAAAGCAGGTTCTTGTATGAATTTTGCTGAAGGGCGCAGCGCAAGAAATTGTTCAAACGTGCCCAAACTTGCCGATGGTGTGAACATATTCGCAAATGAGCGCCCGCTCATCCGGCGGCGCTCATGCCGGGCGGCCAGAACGGGTGGTCTACAACACGGGATCAGAACAGCCAGGGGTGTGTGAAGGGGCAGTGCCCGCTCGCTGGATTGCACCTTGCCCCTTCCTGTTGCAAAACATGTTCTCTCAGCGTTTGGCTGCGAGTTTCTCTTCTCCCAAACACGGTGGAGACCGTCACTTTGCGTGTCCTGAAGCAATTGAGCACGGTCACACAGGGTAGTTCACAGAGGACGCCAAGGATATAATTGCCAACGCCTTGGGTATGTGACGATGACGGATTTGCCGGCAACCTTGCAGACATGCAGCTTGCGGATTCTATGAACCTTACTTACAGGGACAACCGGCTCACCAGTAGCATCAACTCCACCACCAATTTGTTGTACCATAGTAATCCATGACCAGGCACTGTGCCAATGCAGTTGGTCCAGCACTCTTAGCCATGGGCTATGTTTACATGGCTCCCAATGGAAGATGGGCTGGCCCATTGACACCGAGATGTGCGCCCCAGGAACAACAGGTGTGCAGCACCCTTATTTTGCCATTTGCCAACAGCTGCTCGCCGGATGACGCCAATGGAGCCATAATCAAAACCCGGGTAAGTGAAGGTTAGTAAGGGACAACCCCAGCCATAAATGGGCGCGGCCGCCTTTTTAATTCTTTACATGGTTTTGGGTAGACCATTTTAACACTAGGTTTTGATCCTGACTCTAATGCGCAATCTGCAGCGTGAACTGGCGGAGCCTTGGACCTGAAGGGGCGCGGGCTGCATTGCTGAGGCGCAGCTACTTGACCCGTCGCCAATTGGGCAACTGCGCCGTGACGTAGCGCGCCAGCTCAGGGCTAAGCCAAGAGCCCATGTCTTGAACCTGCAACTTTCACCGCGAACGTTTGTGGAAGCTTTTGAGAGGGGTCGCAGCCCATAGCAGAGACTGCCCGCCCTAGTGGCGCATGAGGAGAGACGTGTGCACGTAAACAAATGCTCTTGTCCGCGCGGCATTTAGGCATTATGGGAGGCAAGGCAAGATGATGCAAAGGCTGGTGGCTTGTGACGTTCAGGATCAAGCCGGTCTTAGACTGAGGGCCCGAGGGCTGAATGCCGCGGGTGATTGTCGAACTCAATGTGCCAGTTTTGAGGTACATCCATCTACGACCATGATTTTGCAAGATTTGATGTGTTTTTCTCCCTGGATAGATGTCAACCATGCATTTGCCAAACTAGTCGAACCCACCGCTTTGCGTTGTTTTTCTGGCCTACCTACGTTTGCAAATGCGAGCAATAGCGCTTACATTCGTTCAGGCTCTTTGTTCCGGCTCATTTGGGGTAGGCGTTGGCTCGATGGCTGCTCGAGGTGTTCCCAAGTTTGCCAATCGCAAAAGTGCAGTGTCGCCAGCGGAAAAGTGCGGCGCAAGGACGGCAACTTCACGCCCGTCAGCAGATGATGCCTCCCTGTGTTTGGTTTGGCCTGCCACTAGCTGTGCTCCAGCGAAGCCGAGGAACGCAGAGGCCCAACACATCCCTGCAAGGCATGTTAGCCTGCAAAGAGAGAAGCCTGGGCTGCTTGACAAGGTAGCTTGACAGCTTCTGTCTACACATGGACCCATCGTCTTGGCTGGTGGGACACGCAACCATTCTTAGCCCTATATTTTGTGGAGACTGCTTGCCGAACAGCTGCAACTAGGCGCGGGCACAAGGGTTGAGCCTGCATGGGCCATCGGAAGCGAGTAAGGCGGCGCGTGCGAGAAGTGGATCGCCTTTTCCTGCCTAGTGGAAGAAAACACGCAGGTTCTTCCACGAGCTTTGGCTGAACGGCACAGAACAAGAAACCTTTCAAACGCGCCGGAGTTTTGCCGATGATGTGAACATATGCGCCAATGGCTCACCCGAACAGCGCCCGCCCATCCGGTGGTCATGCCAGGCGGCCAGAACGGGCGATCCAGAACACGTGATCAGAAGGGGGGTGTGAAGGGGCGCTCGTGCAGCCAACCTTCCGCTGGATTGCGCCTTAACCCTTTGTGTCAGCAGCAGTGGCCAGAACTGCTCAGCACCTTTCAGCGTGTTTGGCTGCGAGAGCAACTAGTAGCGGTTTGTTTATTTTTCTCCCAAAAAAGGTGGACACTGTCTCTTTCCGTGTGCTGAAGCAATCTGACTGAGCGTGGTCACAGAGGGTAGTTCATGCTTAGAGGATGCCAAGGGTATAATTGCCAACAATTCGAGTATGTGCCTCACAGGGGCAACCGGCTCACCAGTAGCATCAACCCCACCATCAATTGAACCATACCTTGGGCAAAAGCCCCTCAAAGCGCAAAGCTACCAACTGAAGGTGTGCAGCTTCCTTTTTGCCATTTGTCTATTCGCCGGACCTTAGCAATGCGCAATTTGCAGCTTGAAGCCTTGCTTCTGAGTGGGCGCACAGGCCTGCGCCGCCGATTGGCAACTGCGCTGCGACGCAGCGCGCTAGCTGGGCTAAGCTGGAACTTTCAATTTCCACCCACTTTGTGGACTTGCGCATGGTCCTTTCCGTGGTTGCCTCGGAGAGACTGGCACCTTCCTTCGCAGCCTATAGCAGAGACTTGCCCGCCTTTGTCGTACATGAGAGGGATTTGTAGAGATGCGTGGCTTGGCTTAAACAAATGCGCTTTTCCGCGCGGCGGCGTTTAGGCAAGAGTGCATGTCACATGGCTGCACAGTTGTGTTGTGCGTGTGCTTTCCAATGTCTCATTCAACGCGGTGTCGGATGTGAAACTCCTGAACAGTCCGGTGAAGATACGGCATCTTGACGGAGTGTCGTTTCAGGGCAAGTCTTCTTTGGGTTGATGGTGTTTGCGTTTTTAAGACTTGGGTCGCATTTGAGTCGCAACGCACTTCTGAATCTCGTTGAATTCTCGGAGTTCTTGTTTTGGTGTGGGATGATTGGAGAAATCGAATAGTTTGAGGACTATCAAGCTTTCAGATGGTGAACCGGGCACCCACACCACTTGAAAAATGTGGTTTGGGGTTCGACGGATTCGATCCATTGGATTCGCTGCAGTGACATGGTTAATTTTCCACGGCCATGGAAACAAACCGTTTTAGCAGACCCGATGTTTCTCCAAAGGTGGCGCACAGATCCCTTTCCCCTTTGACAAGCGCACATTTTCTTGAACAAGGTCCCTGCCCCACCAGGTTTGGATGTTTGGATGACGTTTCCAGCATCACCAGTTTTCAACAGGGTTGAATTCCGCCCAAACCGGCGAAAATCCAGGCGCAGCTTACGATCAACCATCAATTCAGCTTGTGAACGGGTGGGGGTGTCTGAAAAGTGGCCCCGGCACAACCGCAATCGATGGGAACAACCATGATTTTATGCTCTTCCGCGTTGCGTTCCGTTTTTTGCGTTCTTCCTTGTTGCAATGGATGCGTATCACGAACCATGGATTATGTCTTCCACTGCCCATGTGTGGAGCTGTATGGCGTTGTTGTGTGCAATTGGCTTTGGATAATATGGCAGGTGTCATTTGTGTGAACAATTTGTGAACCCACCACCTGACATGTTCAATCATGGCAAACTTGGAACTTGGGGAGGTGCTGTTTGTTAATCAGGAGTCCCCATGCTGTATTTGCCTTATGGGTGGTTTGTCAGGCTGTTTGTGACATCGCCTTTCTGGGGTGATGTTTTGATTTGACACATAGTTCGTTACCATGATACGCTGGCGTACTTGTACCAGGTATTGCCATCCACCACGCCTTGCAGTGGCATGTTTGTGTTAGAGAAAAATGGGCCCGGAACCTGTCAGAAAAGGTCTTAAGGAAACCGACCAACTTGTTGGAACCCAAGGTTGGTTGGTAAGTTGGTTGGTATCCAACACACGTTGCCATGGAACCGAACTGGGGGGACTCCTGGAAAACAAAATTTTCCCTCGGAGATGGCGCTGGATTCAGCTTACTTTTTTGGCCGTTTGCTCTCAGCCCGGGGTGAGTGGCGAATCAATTCCGAGTTTCGCAGGCGAGCTTCTGTGCCGTACAAACACCTGGTTAGTGGAGTTGGTGGACATTTGTATATGTCCATGTATCGGCGTACCATTTTGGACCCCTTTGGGCTGGTTTGGCATTGTTCAGCCGAACCTAGCGGTAATTAACCAATCAACCAGGGGTACATGTATTATTTAATGCAATGAACAGGCTCATGCATTCAGCCCGTGATGTGAACATGTTTTCCGGCCTTACCAAGTCCAAGTATGACGAGGTCGGCTGCCTGGTGCCACCTTCCTTGCTGCAAACGGAGCGCAAGCGGTCGTCCGCCTGGCGCCGTTTGAGTTGCAGGTGGCGCCAGCTTACGCAGACGCCGCCGCTTATGGCTTCTGGACTGGCAGCCAGGGATCAAGCCTGTCCGTGTTCTACAGCCCAGCGGGGCGGTTGAAACGTTTTTTTTTTGGAAGGGGTCGGCCGACTTCGTGGCTTGGACACTTCCAAACTTGGTGTGCCAAGGGCTTTGGTTTCCTTGCCTGTTGGATGGTCCACAATGGCGGTCCACAATGGCGCCTGTGCATCCGTTGGGCTTTGCCAATGTTGGTTGCCCCTGACGCCTGCAAACTGGTCCGCACCCCTTGCTAGTGATGCGCTGAACTTTGCAGTTGCACAAGTAGGTTTGGAAGCTGTCGCAAAGTGCATGCTTGGGCGGAAAACGCTAAACTAGCAGAGAATGGTGCGGACTGCACCAAAGCCGCACAACTCTTGGCGCAGTTTGACCTGCCTGGTGATCCTAGTGATGTTGTCGACGCAGCAAGGGCGCCGTGCAATTCAATTTCCAACGCATGTCATTGTCACACTCGCTCACCGTTAGGTTTATTAGCAAGACCAGTGGCATTCACTCGGCACGCCCGCATCCCCATTCGATTCACGTATGCGACAAGCCAGGCATGGGCATAGATGCGCCACTGTTGTTTGTTGCTTGGCGCTGCTCGAATGCGCTTCTTTTGCCGTCCTGAGACGCTTCACGATGGGATTCGCCAGTCGACAGCTCGCTCTCAGCGAGAGAGCCCGACGACCCATTCATCAAGCAAGGGTGTATTCATGCCTGGTGAGTACAGAAATGGGGAGCCTCCCGCAATGTTGTTCCGCATACCGGGCTGGCATAAAGAAATAAGCAAAATAAACAAAGGGGGCCTCATAGTCTTTGTTGTACGTCGGCAAGGCTGCGCGATGGCGGGCCACTTTGAAAATGCTGGCAGCAAGTCATGCCTGCTGACCACGCGCGCAGGTTGCGTTGAGCCGCGACACCCGCAACTCAGAGGGTGCCACTTTCATGGCTTGAAACATGCTTGCCTTGCAGCGCTGTGGTACAAAACTCAGGTCTCATTTACTTGGAGCTGGGCTGCGTCACATCCTTTGCTTGCGGCCAACTTTCAGCTATGCAGTGCATTGCTTGCGCGCAAGAGTACGTCGCCCTTGCCGCAAACAGCTTGCTGGCACGTCGCCGCAGGCCCTTGCTTGGAGCTGCCATGCGTGCAGGCATCTCTCTTCTCGTGGGTTTCTAGTCATTCCCATAGCCAGGCGGTGGTAAAGAACTTGTGCAGTGGCAGCAATGAGTCCGAGGCAGCAGCCGGAGGGCTGGAATAGCTGAGAGCGCGCAGCCGCGCGGCGCGTGGCACGCCTGGGTCGGCTGTGCAGCTGCAGCAAAAGTTGGCATCAAGTTCTTTTGTTTTGCTCGTTTTTCGTCTCAACGCTTGCAACGATCGGCTTGCGGCGCCAAGCCGCGAGGAAGCCTCCCACATGTAGGTGTCCTGCTCCAGCCCAAGTGTCGTGCAACGGATGTGTTGAAGGCATTATGCAGGCAAGTTGAAGCGTGCTAACAACGTGTTGCTCGACGCGCGTGCTGTCTCAGGTAACTCTTGCGCGTCAGTGCTTGAGGTTGACGGCTGCCAGTTTGTTTCCGCGCGCGTGTGTGTGTGTTGTGTGTGTGTGTGTGTGTGTGTGTGTGCGTGCGTGCGTGCGTGCGTGCGTGCGTGCGTGCGTGCGTGGGTGGGTGTGTGTGTGTGTGTGTGTGTGTGTGCGAGTGTGTGTGTGTGTGTGTGTGTGCGTGTGTGTGTGTTGTGTTGTGTTGTGTTGTGTTGTGTTGTGTGTGTGTGTGTGTGTGCGTGTGGCGTGTGCATGTGCGTGCGCGTGTGCGTGTGCGTGTGCGTGTGCGTGTGCGTGTGCGTGTGCGTGTTTGTTTTGTTTGGCTGCTCCCCGTGTTTCCTGTCAAGTTTAAACTTCACGAGTTGTGGTTAAATATGGGTTGCCAGCAGAAGCAATGCGTGCGACCATGACTCCTTCCGCGCGAGCCGACGAAAAATAACAGGCTGTGTCCCACGCGCAAAATTCGACACGTCGTTGCTCACCGGGGATGCCGCCGCAGATCCGGTAGCGCCGTGCCAGGCCCGTCGCGTGCCCGGCAGACGCCAACGCGACCCACCGGGTACTGGGCGGGCATCAGGGGCTCTCGCGTTGGGAGTGGAGCCGTGAGGCTGTGCGTGCTGCAAGCCACTCAGCATGCTCGCGTGCGAGATGTGTTCGTGGGCCGCAGCATTCCTTGCCCACGTGTTGCCCAAATTGACGCA